TGGGTGGACGACTTGGGACAAGTCGAAATTGGCCGAGAAGCCGACGTCATCACGCGTACGAAGTCAATCTCAATTTCTTTAACAACACGTCTTGGTAGGGCTGGTTTCAAGGTGTCTGACAAGTCGGCGATCCTCACCTACCCCCCTCGCCTTGCGAAGGAGATCTCGAGGGCTCTTGCTGACGCTGGAGTGCCCCTCAAGTGCCCAACACACGTTCGGGACCTGGGGATTGACGGCCACACGGCCAGGCGTTCCACAGCGGTCATCAAAGATCGCCTTGCCAAGGGACAAAAGCGTGCTGTCCAGATCACCAAGCTAGTCAAATCTGTGCCCCAAGCTCGAGTCCTCGCTAAGACGGGGTACCGTCCAGCAGTGACATATGGACAGATGGCCCAAGGCCTCAGTCCGACAACTCTTTTATCGCTTCGAACTTCGGTGGCAGCCCTCTCTGGTTACAAGAAGCCAGGAGGATGCCCTACCACTTGCATAAGACTAGGGTTCACTGAAGCTGATGATCCAATGATCCATGGGCGGATGCAGATTTTCGCTTCATGGCTGGAAATGTTATCTCACATGCCTGAGAAGATGCGAGCCATCGAGATCGTCTGGCGCAAAACAGTTGCTCACTTGCAGGAAGATGTCAGACCCTGGGCTCGTGTCAAAGGCCTTATTAGCGCTGTCGTGGCTAGTCTGCTTGACCTCCACTGGGAACCCTTAGGCCCTGTTGCCTGGAGGACGCCCAGAGGTGAAGTCTTGAATATACTTGAGCTCGACAGGGATCATCTTCTCAATTTCGAAATTAAGCAGGCACTAGACCATGAGTGTTGGATTCGTGCCGCTGACTCGCATGTTTATGGTAGAGGGGCCCAGGATGGAGTAGATCTCACCATTTTGAAGAGACACCTCAACAAGCTAGCCAGAAAGAAAGCGTACGACAGAGCGGAGGTGCTCCGCATGATTGCAACAGGAGCTTTGTGGCCAGCAGCTAGGAGATTCGGTAGTGAGAGCCGCGGGGGCATTAAGATTGATCCTCCTGTTGTGCTGCCTGCTGCTGCGGCCGCCGAGCCTGCTGCTGCTAGTGCTTCTTCTCCCTCCAATGTCCCTCCTCAGCCCCCGCAGGCCGCTACCTCTTTGGACGACCCCGAAGGGGACCTCTTGGAGGAGGAGGAGTTCCCGTCGGATGGGGGGGAGGAGGAACCACCTGAAGAGTTGGCCGAGCAGGCCACGATTCAAGAGCCAGCGAGTGTCGCGGCTTGGAATTCTTCGCTGTGCCCCCGATGCCACGAGTGCGAAGAAACGCTTTTCCACCAAATCTGGGAATGCAAGTGCAATTCTGAGCTCCCACAAGAGGAGCTACACTGGGAACATTTGTCTCAGGCGCGCCAGGAGTGGAAAGATGAACCATGCTTCTGGCTTAGGGGCCTCACGCCCTTAGCCTGGACTTTCAACATTAGGCATTTGGAGATTCAAGGGGTGGAAACCCTTTCCCCTGAGCTTCAAGGCGAGAAGTTTGTCCTTCCCCCAGGAGCCTACCTTGGAGGAGATGGGTCTGGTGGCCTGTTCTCTGCGGACCCTAGGATCAGGCGGTGTGGCTGGGGAGGAGCTATTTTCTGCAACGGAGAACTCCTGGCCTGGGCCAAAGGGCCCCTTCCCACGTTCAAGCAAACTGTGCCCCTTGCGGAGTTATGGGCCTGCTACAGGATGGCCCAACTAACTGCTGGTGATTTAGTCTTTATAGGAGACAATGATTCGGTGGTGAGCGGGATCAATTCGGGCCCCCGTTTCCGCCACACGGAAAATTCTACTTTTTGGGACCTGCTCTGGCAGGAATGCGAGGGTAGGCGAGTGCTTGCGATTAAAATCAAGTCGCATGAGTCGGCCTCAGATGCAGTCCTGATCAGAAGGAGCAGGCTTGAGCATTGGGTTGCCAACTTTGTTGCAGACAAGCTGGCGGATCAAGCCGCCAAGGAGGCTCAATTGCCCCGCTGGGCGACCGATGAAGTAGAACGCATTGACAAGCTCAGCAGAGAGGTCCAGGAGCATATCCTAACTATTTCGCATTTCATTGCTGTGAATTCTTCTCAGATCTACGGAGCCAGTAATGCCGAAGATCGCAAGCGAGAGAGTAAGAGGCGTAAGAAGGCCAAGCAGTCGGAGATTGCGGCTCTCACAGCGTCCACTTCTCATTGCCTCGTCGAGCGTCCTGGCAAGCCGTTGAAGTGCTCCAAATGCCTCACGTCCCCGACGGGGACTGCGGAGAGTTGGCTCCGCATGGAGTGCCCTGGACTTCCTGCGAAGATTCACGTCTCCCACCGCCATCTCCAGAGGTTTCGTGGAGTCTTCTGGTGCAGGGATTGTGGGAGCTATGCCGCCACCACTTTCAACAAGCTTTCCAAAGTGTGCTCGGGGAAAGTCTCGGAGCATGGAGGGAAGATTCTGCGAGCTCTTGAGGCGGGAAAGCTCCCGAGGGACATCATGGCCTGGCCCGAGCCTGAACCCTCTTTGGAGCTCCCGCCCCCAATCGCTTTTTTCTGAAGGGGGGGGGCCCTGTCGCGGCTCACCGACTGGGTGGATCGCAGCCCAGTCGGTGAGTGACAAATTCGGATGGGCCCCCTCCGAACTTTTATAACTAGGGGCTCCGCCATGTGGACTCCGCCCCTCAGGTAGGTAAGAGGTAAGAGGAGGAGGAGGAGGAGGAGGAGGAGGAGGAGGAGGACCGACTCTTGCCTGGCCGGGAGGCCGCGGGCCTCCCGGAGCGCAGGGACCTCGGGGCAGCTCGCCGCGCGCCTGCCTCACGCTGCCGCCCCGCGCCGCACCCCCGCTGCCGCCGCCGCCCGTCGGAGAGCACACTCGCACCTCCTCCTCCTCCTCCTCTCCTCCTCCTCCTCCTCCTCCTCCTCCTCCTCCTCCTCCTCCTCCTCCTCCTCCTCCTCCCCCTCCTCCTCCTCCTCCCTCCTCCTCCTCCTCCCTCCTCCTCCTCCTCCTCCTCCTCCTCCTCCTCCTCCTCCTCCCCTCCTCTCCTCCTCCTCCTCCTCCTCCTCCTCCTCCTCCTCCTCCTCCTCCTCCTCCTCCTCCTCCTCCTCCTCCTCCTCCTCCTCCTCCTCCTCCGCCGCCCTCCTCCTCCTCCTCCCTCCGCCCTCCTCCTCCCGCCCTCCTCCGCCCTCCTCCTTCTCCTCCTCCTCCGTCCTCCTCCTCCGTCCTCCTCCTCCTCCGCCCTCCGACCCGAATCATAAGGACGCGCGATAAAGATGCAAGGGCCTTGGAGGACCGTGTCGACACTTCGCTGGCGGGGCGCGGCCAGCAAATGGGGCCAAGGATGGACCGAGGAGGCAGGGATGCAAGGGTGCCCTTGGGAAGGTTGCCCATCCTTACTATGCGGGTTGACTGTATCTCGGGGGTCCCATAATCGTGTGGTGACGGACAGCGCGGTGACCTGGTAATCCCACAAAACCTCACCGCGCGGTCCGTCACCGCACGGCCTTGAGGCCTCGGCGACTCCCGTCGCCCGAGACGTCCTCGCAGAACGAGCCGTGTCCCAAAGCCGTGAGGTAACCCCGAATTACCACTGACTCACCATGCGGTGTGGTCACCAAACCGTTTGGGGCACCCTTGGTATCGGGCGCTGCGGCCGTTCCAGAGCGCTCTGGGACGCCCTGAGGGCGTTCCAGATGTCTCTGAAACGATTCATCCTGGTCTAGCCCCGCCCGACCCCCCGAGCCAACCTGGATCTTATACCTGTCCGACCGTGGCATGGCCGCACCTTCGCTCGACATTTCACCACACAGGTGTTTCCAAAGTCATGGGGGCGGAAGTGATTCTTCGTACGCGTCTTCCAGCGCCCATGTAGCCTGCCGGAGGGTTGCTGGACGTGCCGAACCTTACAGCACCTCGTGGCCTGTTTCAACAAATCCCAGATGGCCTCCGTCCCAAACCGCTGGCCCCACGAAACAGCAGGCATCCATACGCTCTTCCCCGAGTGGCTTTGCAGGGAGAACACTCAACCCATTAGCATGGCCGCACCTTTGCTCGACATTTCACCACACAGACGTTTCCAAAGGCATGGGGGCCCACGCGGTCCTCCGCGCCTGCCGGAGGGTTGCTAGACATCCCGGACCTCATAGCTCGTCTTGGCCCTTCCAACGCACTCCAGATGGCCTCCGTCCCAGGCTGCCGGCCCTGCGAAAGCCAACAGGCCTCCATGCGTGCTTCTGCCTTGGATGGCTGCAGGGAGGGGCTCCCAGACTCGGGGGCGCGCAAACATGGATTAGCGATCCATGGACGTTGGCGCGCGGTCGCCAAATCCACGCATCGGGGGAGATGCCCTCCCCAAAGTGCGGCCGCTGCCGCCCCGCTGGGCGGCAGAAATCCGCGACCCCCCATGGAAACGGGGCCCGTCGCTAACCCACGCCCCCTTGATCCATGTTTGCGACCGCCTGGTTAGACGGCTCCAGGGAGGGGCTCCGAGACGGCCGCGACGGCCCCAGGATGCCTCGGTCCGACGGTATGCCTGTCCCCCCCGATCGCTGCCCCTGAAGTGCCCGTTCGGCGGTGGACAAGCCTCCCTTTAGCAAACCTCCCCTTAGTGAAAACGGCCTAGGACCGAAACCGACGGACCTGGACCCGCAGAAATGACGGCCGCGACGCCCTCTCGCGAACCGAAAACGGCCAACTCGCTGATCAACGTGTCAGGGTAGGAGGTCTATCGACCTCCGAAAAGTGCCCGTTGCTCGGGAGCGGCAAAGAGTGGGGTGTCCAAGAAGGTGGGGTGCAAATCGTGGCCGGCGGCATGTGCGCGGCCGGGGGGGGGGGAGCCAGGGAATAAAGTAAGAAGAGGCGCCGTGAAATCCGGGGAAATATCATGGCCGACGCCATGCTATCCACCCCCCCCCCTGGCCATCACCCCCCTCTCTGCCGCCCCCGAGCTGCGGCGCCACAGGCGTCTGGGGCCCCGGGGCCCCCAGGGCCCCTCGCCCCCGGGAGGCTCGGGGCGCGCCGCGCGCCTCCACGTCGTCGCGCTCCTTCGCGGCCTCGACGTCGGGCTCCTGCGCGGGACGGGGTATGCAAGGCCACCGAAGCTCATGTCCCCCCTGTCGTGCTTGAGGGCCGCATCCCAGGGACAGAATTTCGAGCACCCAGAGCCTTCTCCGAAGGCCCCCGCCGCCTGCAGAAGAAGGCCTGCCTGCCGCCTCTCGCCTCCTCGCCAGGGCGGGCCGCCGAGAGCCATAGAGGAGGAGGAGGAGGAGGAGGAGGAGGAGGAGGAGGAGCCAGAAAAGCGTCGAAACAATCTCGAGCGAGTATCGCCTGCAAGGGGGCCGGCGCGTGAGCACCCTCCAGCTTCGATGCTCTCTTGGTGCTCGAAATTCTTTCTGGCGGTCAAAGCAACAGGTTGGAACATAATCACACACGGCACAGAGGCGCCAGCTCGTCTCTCGCTGGTGCTCTGACGTCAACGAGGGCCGCGGCACCACCTCAAGGGCGCACCTCGCAGGC